TCAGCTTGTTTACTTTAGTTGTTTTGTTTTGCTCGAGGACTAGCAAAAGCTAAGTGTGGGGGAATTTGATAGAAGCATATTTATGCGCCTTAGTTAGCTAGTTCTTATGCATTTTTGTTATGTTTTCTTCCTTAAAGTAGTCTTTTAAGCTACTTTCATGTGTTTTCAGGTTTAAAGGACATATTACATGAAATGATGCAATTTGGAGCTTTTGGAGCAAAACTGAGCTGGAATGTGGTGTATGTAAATGGAGCACGAGGAATGAACGTGGTTGAAGGTCAAAGGAGTTCAAGAAATGAAGAAATGAAAGTGAAGAGCAAAGAAGTCGGAATTGGCAACCAAAGTTTCTAAAGTTGGAAGTTTCTATTCTTGGAGGTTTCCATTGTCGTGAGTTTCTATTCTTGGCTTTGGGCTTTTAGATGACTTAAACCCTAACTCTTTGTGGACCCTAAGCCTATGCCGCACCTAAACCCTAACCTTAGCCCATTTTAGAGCCATTGCCGTGGGCTTTAGGCCCAAATCCATGCATTAAGCCCTTCACCCTAATTCTTCCTCCAAATCCATGCATCCACATTCACCTAAATAAACCCTAAACTACATCCACTAAACCATCCATCCACCATAATTCCCATTATTGCCGTCCCCCCCACCATTCCATTCACACTTAAATGCCCATTATCCCATTTTTTTAGCTTTTAATTCCACACCATCCCATTATCATTTCCTAATCCATGCATCCACATTCACCTAAATAAACCCTAAACTACATCCACTAAACCATCCATCCACCATAATTCCCACCATCCACACCTTTTCCCTTCCACCAAATACCTTAAACAAACATCCATTAACACCCATTCTCTTCCTATAAATACCCATTCATTCCATTCACCAAATCATCTCATTTTCCATTGCAATACACAAACACTTCTCCTTCCATTTCATACCATCACACAACCTATCCTTAAACCTTGTGCTACAACAACGAGGAAGAGAAGAGTGCCTAAACGTTCATACAATTCAAGTTTGAGTTGTTGGAATGTTTAGGTGTTTCTTTGATTTCAAAGTTTCATTTTAATTCTCTTTGTTTTGTACGTATAAGGAATGGAAGAGAAGAGTGCTTAAACGTTCATACAATTCAAGTTTTGAGTTGTTGGAATGTTTAGGTGTTTCTTTGATTTCAAAGGTATGAGGAACTAAACCCCCTTTAGCTAGGGGGTGATTCGAAACTATGTTTATATTTGCAATATGAATTGATTAACTTTCGTTGGAATTTCATAAGTTGTGGATTCAATTTGTTTAACCGTTTGATTGATAACTTATTTATGAATGTTTATTAAGAATGCGCGCTTAATTTTCATGCATAAATATGACGCTAGAATGTAAGTGATTTTCACCTAATCGTTATGAACTTATATTCACAAGTAGTGGAGGTTGCTTATAAACAATCGTGTTAAATGAATTCTTGGCACGAGTTTCATGCTCATCATAGTAACGAATGCCTCGTCAACACTTATAGTTTTCATAATACTTAATGATCTTTGATTGTATCTTTATTGTGCTGTTCACGTAAAGGACTTTTGGAGAATGTTGTGAATTGCGTTGCGCAAACCCATCCAATTCATTAACTTAAGGAAAACTTGACGGTTAATTTAAGCGGACCTAATTAATCCGGAGTGTTGAGTTTCATAATTTATCGAAAGACGAACTGAGAATCAATCTTGTATGCAAGTATAACATGTGTGGAGAAGAACCCCTTAGCTAGCCTTCATTCCATTCATTCCATCACAAATTCATATTTACATTCCGCTTAGTTTGTTACTTTGTTTTGTTATTTCAATTTTCGTCAAATCAAAACTTTTTCCCCCCCCCTTTTACTTTCTTGTTCTTTAGTGCTTAGAATCTGTTTAGTTTATGTTTTAAAGTATTTTGAATCAAGCCATAATCTTAAATTCGTCCAAAATTAGTTTTGAGTCTTTTGGTTTGTCTTAACGTTTTAAATTTTAGTTTTGCATTCTTTGAGTCTAGTTTAGTGTTTTATATTGTTTTTACGTTCTTAAGTCAATTTAGAAGGTTTTAGCAAGCCCTCCTAATCCCCGGTCTAGAACGATCCCTCACTTATCCATTCTACTACAATTGTCAAACGAGGGTTTAATTTGAGTGTCAAGTAATTCTCACATCAATTGAAAGGGAATGCCCTAGGGTGTCTAAAAGGGTGCGGCTGAGATGTGGGATGTTGAAAATTGGATGGGAGTTACGGATTGAAGGAAGAAAAAGATGGTAGGGTTGCTGCGGCTTATAGGTGTTGTGGTTGAATTATGAAAAGAATCAATGAGAGGTCCGTAGGGTGCGGCTAAGTGGTGGAAAACCTAAGGTTTCAGAAATTCAAACCCTAGCTTATTTTTATTAATTAAAATTAAGTCAAAGGCTCTAGAATTAGGAAATAAAATCAGAAATTAAAAGGAAAGTGGCTGCAAGGTGCGGCTAGGGTTTAGTTTAGGAGAGGAGCATGTGTTTAATTGCATAACCTAGGACAAAATTGCCCCCCTTGCATGGCAAGGGAAGGAAAGAAAGGGAAAGGGCACGGCAAGGGTGTGTAAGGGGCCTAGGGCCTTCGTTTTGTGTCCTAAGGTGCCTACAAGGCCTTCAAAGTGGCTAGAAAATACGGACGTTTAAGATTAGGAAAGGTTACCAAAACGGGAAACCTAGGGTTAACTTTCCTACTTCAAGTAGGAATCCTTGTTGGAGTAGGAATTCATCATTGGAGTAGGAATTCATCGTTTCTTCAAGTCTTCAACTCATTCATTCCTCTTTCGCTCCAAAAGACTCCAATTTGCATCTTCTTGCACACTTTGGCCTTATAATCTGAAAATACACAAAAGTGACTTTAAACACTAAAATAACTAAGGAAACACAACATAAATGCACCAGAACAAGCTAATTAAGTCGCATGAATATGCTCCTATCAGTGAGATCGAAAATGAGAGTATTCACATTGCTTTTGATAATGTAGATATTAATTTAGTTGAGCAAAATTTTGATCATATTGTAGATAAGCTTATAAAATATATTAATCATTTAGAAAAATATAAGACATATGATATAGAACTACATAGAATTTTAGATGAAGAGATGAAAAAATTAATTTTAGAAATAGGAGTAAAACGTATTTTAGGATCAAAAGAATATAATAATGTATTAGAGTTGAAAGTAGTATGTAATCCAGCAGAAGAAAGTATTACATCAAGAGTAGAAAATCTTGGATATGTAGGTAGAACTAATCAACAATTTTTGAGACAAACAAATGAACAATATAATTAACAATCAGGAGTAGATTACATTGAATAAAGTATGATGAAACCACCTAGAAAAAATAGGATTCCATATTTAAAATGATTAGAACAAATTAATATAGCAGGTATATATTAAACTTAGATAATGTAGATCCACAAGATTGAGAGAGAACAATCGAGAGATGGGAAAAAGGTTGCGTACATGCAGAAATAATGTTAGATTTTAGTAATTCACAAAATATTTTACATTATTTTGAACATATTTTAGCTGGTTTATTTTTTGATTATTTTCAATCATGGAAAGTTCAAAATCCAGAACAACATCAGGTAACTAAAACACATTTTAATATTGATAGTTTTATTACTTTAATTAAACAAGAATTTCTAGATCATAATTTGTTAGGTGGCAGAAGCGAACAAGAACAAATAACAGCATTTAGAAATTAGAACAATTACAAATTTATGATTTACAGTATATAGCTGAGTATACTTCATATTTCTTCAAATATTTAGGAAGAACAAGTAGAATTAGTGAAATTAAATTATTAGATACTTATATGACAAAAATAAAAGGACCAATAGGTGAAAAGATTTGGAATGAATGGCAAAAGCATGCAAAGAAAAATGATATTGCAATAAGACCTAGAATTCAACATATATATGACATACTTAGATAAGAGTGTAGCCAAATAAAAGCTAAGAGACAAACTAGGAAGCAATTTTACATGAGCTGTAAAAATATAGATTTACTACATAGTTTGATTGTCATAAGAAAAATAAGCATAAGAAAATATACAAAAAGAAATATAAGTCGTACCAAAGGTTAGTAGGACGGTTGATTTACTTGTCACTCACAAGGCCATATATTGCTTGCACAGTAAGTGTGCTGAGTCAATTTATGCACACAGCTAGTGAGGATCACATGGTCGCGGTAATGTGAATATTGAATTACTTGAAGGGAACTCCGAGGAAAGGACTACTATACAGAAAGCATGAACATATGGAAGTGAAAGGATACATGGATGTAGACTGGGCTGGAAATATTATTGATCGGCGATCTACTTTAGGCTACTTTACTTTTGTAGCTGGTAATCCTATAACTTGGAGGAGTAAGAAGCAGAGTGTGGTGGCGAGGTCTTTAGCTGAGGTTGAGTACAAAGGAATGGCACATGGTATTTATGAGCTTTTGTGGCTTCAAATTCTACTTATTGAGATAGGGTTTAAGCCTAAAGAACCTATGTTGTTATACAGTGATAATCAAGCAACGTGAGAGATTGCAAACAATCCCATGCAACATGATAGGACCAAACATGTTGAGGTGGACAAACACTTTATCTATATATATAAAGGGAGAGCCCCAGTTTGGTGAAGCTTTCCAAAATGCCAAGAAAGCCCCTTTGTTTTCTTCACAATCCAAATCCACAAAAATCGAAAAATGGGGACAAACTGGTAAAAAACCATCACTGAAAAAAGATAAAGCATCATAACCGTAAAGTTTTGCTGAATGAAGAATTAGAACCGTGACATGGGATTCAACCACCCTCCCACGTTCTACAAACTACCAACTAGATCAAAAACGTCCACTCCCTCACCTTCCATCCTCTCATTCTCTTCCAACAAGCTCACTGGTCTCTCTCTCTCTCTCTCTCTCTCTCTCTCTCTCTCTCTCCCTCGCTCGATTGCTCGCTCTCTCTAAAATCCAAAATTGACAGGAAACTGACGACGTGTTTGTGAATGCAGGGAAGAGGAATTCTCGAAATTTAGTTTTGCCTTGGCAAAGTGTGGGCTTTGAGAGCGAGTCCTACAGTTTCAGTTTTTGAAGGTTTCGGATATCCACACAATCTATTGGGAGCAGTCTGGAAATCCAGACGGCCATGTGAGTTCAGTTTCATATTAATTTCAGTAGTTTATTTGTAACCGTGCATAAATCAAGGAGAAGAGAAGAAGGGGAGGGAGAAACAAAGATACAGATTGACAAAGACTCTTCCTCTACACCATTTTGTTGAGGAGTACACAGAGTAGACTTCTGATGAATTATTCCACGATAATATCGTATGCCAAATCTTATTCATGCATACAAGTAGACCACGATAGTGTGCAATATATACTAATGTTGTTTTTGTCAGACACATCCCGTACGGCATTTTCCATGACTAATCTCACAGTATTTCTTCCTGCTTAGGAACTTCTTTGGAGCTTCCATGACATATTACCGAATGCCGATCTTTGTTATGACCTTCATTTTAAGAAATGCCAATTTGGAATGAAGAGGTAAGCAACTTCCTTCTTCGCTTTCACACCATTATCCCATCCAGGTCAACTGAGATTTTCCAAAATGCAGGTTTAAGGAGACACAGAGATGTGTTTGAACGGATGTCAGGAGGCTATACTAACATGCACACGGTAGTGCAGATGATACGGTGAATGGTCGAGTACAGGTAATGGATTTGATCTCCATTTTCTATGTATTCCTTCCAGCGTTTGTCCACTATTCATCAAATTCTTTTTAATTTCCTTCCGTTTTCATGCATGATTGTTGATTATTTTCTTTTGAGTGCAAAACTGGATTTGTTTCTTCTCCATGTAAGTGCCCATTGTTGAGTTTATTCTGCTTACAAGGAAACTATTGGCTCTGGGGAGTTTTTGTTTATATTAATCCATTTTCCGATTATTTATCAGGCTTTTTCCATTACGTTTTCAAATCATTTGCATTCGGTGCAGGCAGTGAAGTTAAATGTGATATGGTGTATGTGTGAGCGAGACATTGTGAGGAATGACAAAAACGTGGGAAGCAGAAAAAGATGAGCAAAGAAATTAGAACGTGAAGAAGGAAAAATTGTTATATGCAGTTGTCAGTAGTCTCCCAGGTTTCAAACTGTATCTGAAGCATATATTAAACCGACAAAGTGAATTGTCAGATAATTTAGAACGCAGGAACAAAGAAGGAAGGAAAACAGGAAAGCCTTCATGTTAGTTTTCTTTTACAGGAAGACCCATTTCACTCGCCGTGATCAACAATTGCAGCTTCTTGAAGTAGCCTTTCACTCACCATAAACGACAAGTGCGGCTTCTTTAGCAGTATGTTTATTAGTCTCTTTTCAAATCAAATTCACTGCCATTAATTAACTGTTTCTCATCGATCATTCATTTCTGATCATATTGATGCTATTTGATTATTCATAGATCTGCCAAATACGATATATAGTATAGAGTTGTGCTATGTATTTCTAATTTGGTTTCCATGCAAGAGAATAATATCATATTTGCATATCACTGTATTAGTTTACAAAGTGTTTGCGAAAACATCTCAAAGTGTGTTTTGATTTCTGGTTTGCTTAATTTATATCTATATATATAAAGAGAGAAACCTAAATAAGTGAAGCTTTTAATATTCCATTTATGTTCTTACTTTGATAGAGAAAATAATTAACAACTACCCAACAAAGTAGTAATATTGTACAATTTAGAAATCAAACGTGGAAGAGACAAATTCAACCACGTCTACAAAGTTTTTCTCAAACTGCATATAGCCTTGCCGAGGAGGATAGGCAGAGGCCATTCCATCAGTTTTTCCCGAACTGCAGAGATATCCTAGCGAAGGCCATTAGTAACGGTTACGGTATTGAAGAAGCAGAAAAAAGGCATGTATGTATAGCGCAACAAGTCATTGCAGTTTCATTATATTTAAAGACTGGAAGGTACGGGCACTAGGTACCAATTGTGTGGGCTACAGTTTCAATCTTTGTCGAAAGTGTGCAATTTGGGATGATGGATGATGAATTCCAGATGGTTGCGATTGAATTTTTTGTTTTTATTTTCATATAAAAGTGTGCTTTTACCAATTGGTTTGCAGCCCTGTTATATTTGCAGAACAGTGCCTCATGTTTATTACAATCATCTTGATTAGTTAGACTTTCAATTTAATGTCATATATAACTATTCTTACTCTTTAGCTTAATATTAGGATGTGCTATTACTTGGAGAAATACTACTATGTTTGACACTATTTGACCAATTAGTTAGACTTTCAAAAATCTTGGTTTTACAGAACATGTTTATCATTTCAATTAAATTATATGGACATTTGTGACGTAGCCATTTCTTATTTAACAGAAAACATAGTCATTTCTTATTTAATAAAAAAAATGTACTGAATTAAGCTAAACTGTTTTATGATGTAATATTTATAGCGTTGTCAGGAATAACCTCAATTATTTCAGTTGGCTTAGCTTGGTCTTCTCTTGGCCGATTCTTTATCAACTCCTCTTGCTTAACCTCAATTATTTCAGTTGGCATTGGTTGCAGACCCATTTGTTGAGGCTCGAAGAAAAAGGAATGGGGGAAAGTGTATTCTTGCCATAGATTTTCTATTGGGAGTGAGCATTGAAGAAAAGGGAAGGTGATAACAGCGGAAGAGGTGGCTTTTTGCTTTTGGCCTTTTGTTTTCTTCATTTTGCTTAATGTTGAGACTTGAGAAAAGAACTTCTAATGTTGAACCCCAATTCGAGAAAATAATGTGAAGAAAACAAATTTTCGTAATTGTTATTATGTCCAACATCAAACCAATTATGAACAATTGCTGTCCTCTAGCAAAAAATATTTTGACCCATGTTTAGTTATTCATAATCTTCTTCGTAATCTCAAATATCCATGTAGTCCAAAATCATCCCTAAACACCAGCGGGGTTCGAGAAGGATTTTGAATATCATAACAGTTATTCATAATTATGATTTTGTTAAGGAACCTTGCGTACATGCATTTTTTTTTTTTTTAATCCATTTGAACCAAATCATCCCATCCCCATTTGCACCCCAACGACCAACAAAGCACCCCAAAATTTCTTAAAATGTGTTGATCACAAATTCTTGAAGATCATATCCTTAAACTAATGAACCAAAATTACTAATAAACATAATACCTAAGAAACCAAAATTACTAAAATTTTAAGGATATCATAACATTTTAGAGCTTATATGTGCATTGTTGAGTTATTAGAGCAAACTAATAAATATAATGAACCTACATTGAATACAAATTCTTCTTTGTCATGTGGTAGCTTTTTAGCCTCTTATTATGGGTTACACATTTCTAAAAACTTTTTATATTATGTCCAGCCCACATCCGTCATTTATGATAGGGTTTAGGGGTATTAAAAAAGTTTAAAATTCTACTCATCCAGTTGACATAAAAATTAAAACTCTATAAACAATGCTAATTTATAAAAGAAAAAAAACATTAAAGCTAAATCATATCCAAGTCCTAACACCAACCAAGAAGTGTATATAGGCCCGTCATTTCCTTGCACTGATACTTATTACACTTCAAAAGTATTTTGTGATCATTTTATTTTGTTCTTTTGTATTATAGTGATGTGTAGATAAATGTTTTTCCTTCTTCTGTTCATAGGCATCTACGTAGACTTTTTTGTATTTATGGAATGTCACAAAATTTGTATTCAATTTAGGTTCATTTATTTTTTAATTTTTTAGATAAATTTTTCCATGGAGCGTGGTCAAAGTCGTGCAAGACAATGGCGTCAATCATTGAGTCCTGAAGAACATCAAAGATATCTAGCTCGACGACGTCTCATAGCACAAGAAAAAAGACAACAAATTCCAACTCTATATGATGATCATACTATGACATCCCCCAGTAACATACAACAAGAAATTCCTGGTATTTATTTCATATTCCTTTTCTTTTAACTCATACTAATGCAAAAAAAAAAAAAAAAAAAAAAAAAAAATCTAATTTCTAATTTTTCTTTTAACTATGCAACAAGTAGGTCCCAATAATATACAAGAACGGGTTCAGTTGGCTAACTATGATGTTGAGGTCGACCCCAGTAATATAGAACAACAAATTCCTGGTATTTATTTCAATTTCTTTATTTGTATTTGTTTCACACGTAAAAAATTAGGTTATTTTTTAAGAACAAAATTTGGTGAATTGAAATCTCTTTGTATTCTTTTCTTCGATACTTTCATATTGATCTCAATGTTGTAGTTATTTTTAGTGGTAGTCTTACGAAATATTAGACTCGCAACTAAATATATTAAATATTAAAGACAAAATTTTTAACTAATCGTATTATAATGTGGTCTATTTATTAGAACAAATTGAGCATGAAAGCACGAATTCAAGGGTTTTGTCAGATATCACAAATCATGATGACCAAACTTCTACTAGAATGCGTACTCATATGGGACAGTTGGCACATTCAAATAGGTCACAAATATCTTATGGGATGCTCTCAATTCCTCCCCATAATGGTGAGCTTAGTATATAATTTTATCTTTATATAGATATGTGATTAGTTACAAAGAAAATTCTTATACTGAATGTTGGATATTCATGTAAAAATATCAGAAGAAGAACATGCAAATAGAACCAATTGTCATGTGCGCCAAACCAGAGGAAGAAGAAACCACAATTGTGCTAGAAATTATAATGAGAATCGGGGTATCCTAGGTTGCCAATTATCTGCTCCAACCACATGTCCGTACTGCTATGCACGATTGTTTGCTCGAGAAACTTTGAATATGTGTTGCTTGAAAGGAAGAATTGTTTTACCCCCAATACAATCCCCACCAGAAATGGTTGCTCTTTTCTCTGACCAAACAAATGAGGGTAGACACTTCAGGCAAAATATTCGAGCTTACAATCATGCATTTGCATTCACTTCAATGGGAGTACACGTGGATGAAAGAATTAATATTGGTGGTCGTGGGATTTACACATTTCGTGCTCAAGGTGCATTATATCATAAGATTGGTGGACTTTTACCAAATGAAGGGAACAGACCGCGATTTTTACAAGCTTATATATATGACACTGAGCATGAAGTTGAAAACCGAATGTGTGAAAGTGAAGTTTTAGATAGACGTGTGGTTGAAAAGATACAACATATGTTGAACAACCATAATCCTTTTGTTCATACATTGCGAAGCCTCGGACAACGCCAAGATTTGCCGAATTGCAAGTTGATCCTAAAAGAGCAACCAATAGATCGGCGTCAGCATAGTCTACCATCAGCATCACAAGTTGCGGCAATTATAATAGATGGAGATAATGCCACAATTGCAAATGGAAGGGATATCGTGGTGGAGACAATTAGTGGAAGGCTTTCTCACGTCCGAGACTATGTTGGATTTTATGATCCCTTACAATATCCACTATTGCTGCCTTACGGTACATATGGATGGGATGTTAACAGTCGTGATGATGGTGGAAGAGCAATAACATGTTGCGACTATTATGCTTATATGTTACAGGTTTGTACTAATAACATAATTTACTTCCCGATATATATAGATGAATGATGATTCCTATATTAAAAGCAATATATGAAATTTGCTTTTGTAGATACGCCATAATGGATCATCACTTTTGCTTCGAGGTGGACGTCTCTTTCAACAATATGCTGTAGATAACTACATTAAAATTGAATCACAAAAACTTAGATGGTTGCGTTCTAATCAAGCCACAGTTAGAGCGGATCTCTACAAAGGACTTGAAGACTCTCTAAATGCAGGTCAACACAATGCAGGTATATATATCGTTTCAGTCATCGTTATTTAGAAATATAACTTTGTTTAAAGTGTGTACAATATATACAACTAATTGAAAATAAAATATTATTAGGTAGCATCGGGCGTAGAATTATTTTACCATCATCATTTGTTGGAAGCCCACGTGACATGTACCAACGATATCAAGACGCAATGACTTTGGTTCAAAGATTCGGAAAGCCAGATCTTTTTATTACCATGACATGTAACCCAAGTTGGGAAGAAATCAAAAGTGAATTACTCGCTGGACAAACTCCACAAGATCGCCCTGACTTACTCACTAGAGTATTTCGTGCAAAACTTGAGCAACTAAAAGAAGACATCATTGAAAAGGGGGTATTGGGCAGTGTTGTTGCTTACGCATACGTTATTGAGTTTCAGAAACGTGGTCTTCCACATGTGCATATGCTGGTTGTGTTAGATGAAAATGATAAGATCAATAACCCAGATGAGTATGACCGAATTGTTAGAGCTGAAATACCAAATGAAGATGTAGAGCCTCAACTTTATAATGTGGTGTTAAAGCATATGATTCATGGCCCGTGTGGGATTCATAATCCTCTATCTCCATGTATGAAAAATGGGAGTTGTAAGAGAAAGTTTCCCAAACCATTTGCACCAGTCACCGTTCAAGGGAATGATTCGTATCCAATTTATCAAAGGCGAGGAAATCGATTGCCCGTCTCACTTAATCGACAAGGAAACATAATGGTTGATAATAGTTGGGTCATTCCATATAATCCATGGTTGCTGTTAAGGTATGATTGTCACATCAATGTCGAAATTTGCGCAAGCATAAAAAGTGTCAAGTACTTATATAAGTATGTTTACAAAGGCCCAGACAGAGTGACAGTTGAAGTGCAATCAGACCCTCAATACGATGAAATAAAGCAGTTTCAGGATGCAAGATGGATTTGCGCACCAGAGGCATTATGGAAAATATTCAAGTTCATTATTAATCGAATTTATCCATCTATTGAGCGAATGCAAATACATCTTCCTAATATGCACCAAGTTCAGTTTCGTGCCGATGAAAGCATAACAAATATTCTACATGATGAGAGTACAAGAAAGACAATGTTGACTGAATTTTTTACACTTAATCATGTGGATGCAGAAGCGCGACATTATTTATACATGGAGATACCATCACATTACAGATGGATTCAAGCTCAAAGAAAGTGGTCTAAAAGAAAGAATCGTAACAAGGTTATTGGGCGAATATATGCAGTTTCACCTGCTGAAGGCGAAAAATTTTACCTTCGGATTCTTCTTAATCATGTTAGAGGACCAACATCCTTCACAAACTTGAGAACAGTTAATGGGGTTTTGCATCCAACATTTAAGCAGGCAGCAGAACAACGAGGTTTGTTAGAAAGAGATGACAGTATTCGACAATGTTTGTTAGAGGCCTCCACAATTCAGATGCCGTCGGCTTTAAGAAGATTATTCGTCACCATATTGGTATATTGTGCACCAATTGGTGTTCGAGGGTTATGGGATGAGTTCTGTCCATTCATGATGGAAGATTATGTTTCCATGACTAACATAACTCCCACACTTGCTACCAACATACTCTTGCGTGAGTTGAACATACTTTTGGTTCAATTTAACAAGAGTATAAACGAGTTTGATTTGCCCCAAATGACAAGAGGAAATGAATCAAGTTCAGGAATGACCGGATGTATTGAAGATGAAATATCCATATGTATTCCACAACAAGATCTTGATGCAATTGAACGCTTAAATGATGACCAAAAAAATGCGTTTAACATAATAATGGGTGCAGTTCAACGATCGGATAATGCAACTTTTTTTGTGGATGGTCCCGGTGGAACTGGAAAAACTTACTTATATCGCGCATTGTTAGCAAGCTTGAGAAGGTTGGGGCACATAGTATTAGCAACAGCATCATCTGGAATAGCAGCTACGATATTGCCTGGTGGGAGGACAGCACATTCTAAATTCAAGATACCACTTAGTCTCGATGCATCATCGATGTGTTCGATCAGTAAACAATCTGATTTAGCAAAGCTAATACAAAAGGCAAAGGCAATCATTTGGGATGAAGCAACAATGACGCATCGTCATGCATTTGAAGCACTCGATCGAACGTTCAGAGACTTAACAGATATTGACTTACCATTTGGGGGGAAGATAATGATATTTGGGGGAGATTTTCGACAAGTTCTTCCTGTTATCCGGAAAGGAACCAAGTCCGAACTAATCCAAGCAAGTGTTGTTAAGGCATCATTTTGGTCACAAGTAAAGATTTTAAAACTCAAACAAAACATGAGATCCATAAATGATTGTGAATTTTCAGAATTTTTACTTCGTGTTGGTGATGGGAATGAAGATGTTATTATGGATGATATGGTAAAACTACCTGAATGCATGGTGATACCATGGGAGAGTGAGCATTCCATTAATCAATTAATTGCCAAAATCTTCCCTGACTTAGAGGATCATATAAATGATGCAACCTACATGGTGGAAAGGGCAGTGGTAACTCCTACAAATGAAGACGTTGATATGTTGAATGAAAAGATAATCAATATGTTTCCGGGTTTAGAAGAGACAATGTATTCATTTGATTCAGTTGAGGATGACGCAAGGAATTTGTATCAGCCAGAGTTCTTGAATTCAATCTCACTTGGTGGTTTGCCTCCGCACAAGTTAACTCTGAAAAGAGGTGCTCCAATCATGCTTTTAAGAAATATTGATCCGAAATTGGGATTGTGTAATGGTACAAGATTATTGTGTCGTGGTTCTTACCGAAATCTTATTGATGCTGAAATTCTAACTGGACAATTTGCCGGATCCAGAGTTTTCTTACCAAGAATCCCTCTCAAAAGTACTGATACTGCTGGGCTTCCATTTGAACTTACAAGAAAGCAATTTCCAGTGAAACTAAGTTTCTCCATCACTATAAACAAATCTCAAGGTCAGACAATACCACATGTTGGCATTTACCTTCCAGATCATGTCTTCAGCCATGGACAATTATATGTGGCTTTATCGAGGGGGGTCTCAAAGTCAACCACAACCGTGTTAGTAAAAAGTGGCTCCATAGTAGGCCAACAAGGTGTATTTACACGGAATGTAGTATACAAAGAAGTCTTGCTTCATTCCAGCTAATTATGGTGATTCCTAATAGGTAACAGCTTTATTAACGATAACCTTTCAGTATGCATTTCTCACTTATGAATTAACTATTTTTATTTGATTTTTAATTTTCTCACTATCGTTTGTAGATTGGCAATGAAAATTTGAAGCATCAATCATGAACAAATGGGTGGAAATTGCAGCATTGATGTCAATATGACTCTATGAGTATTGTGAATAATGTACATATTGTTATGTAGGATTTATATTTTGACATTTAAATTGTTTTGTATTTTGCTACGAGTACTTACTGTTTTCATCTACTATTTTTTTTTATTTACATATACTTGCTATCGTTCATAGGCTTTAGGTAGGAACTTGCATCTAAAACTGTATGTTGTTTGATAAGTGCATGAATAACATTTAAATCGTTACTTTACACAAAGTAAAAACGAAAAACATGATAACTTTTTAGGATGTGCATTATAAAAAAAAAAAAAGTTCCTATTTGCACAGTACATTTAAAGTATATCTTGACAATTACAATGGGAAAAACTAACACAATACACCTTTAGGGGCGCGTAGCGCCCGTGATGCAAAAATGCCTCTCGCACGCACGTTAGTGCGTGCAGAGAGGCTAGTAAAAGAGAAACTGGATATTAAGTTGGTTGACATTCCGTTTGTAAAGACAGATGAACAGCTGGCAGATGTTTTGACACATGCAGTCTCAGCTAGAAGGTTTTGGGACTCACTTGACAAGTTGGGCCTAGGACATATCTATGCTCCAACTTGAGGGGGAGTATTACCGTGAGTCAAAGATTAAGAGGAATAGGAATGTATTTATATTTCCTAGTTTGGTTATACTTTATTTTAATATTCCTTGTATCACAAGGTAAAGTTATATATATATATATATATATATATATATATATTAATTACCTCCTAGAAGGGAGAAGAATAATACGAACTATTAAATCCTAAACATTATACTTTCATCTAGTTATGGGTCAATACGAGAAGCCTACCCTACAAAACTCACCCCATCTTCCTCCCGTTGCTCCTCCCTTACGAAACTATCCCCTTGCACCCTCAACCCTACGATTTGGAAGCCACCCCCTCCGTCGCGCTTTGACCCTTTAGTTCAAACCCCTTCCCCTCCACCCTCCTGGTGGGAGTCACCACCCCTTCCACCCCCTTGCTGGAAGTCAGCCCCTCCACACTACTGGTGGAGCCCACCCCCTCCACCCTACTGTTGGAAGTCACCCCCTCTACGCTCCTGGTGGAGCCCACCCCCTCCACCCTACTGTTGGAAGTCACCCCCTCTACCCTCCTGGTGGAGCCCACCCCCTCCAACCTCCTGGGGGAACCTTTCTTGTCAGAAGCCACCCTCTCCGTCTCGCTATGTTGATCCTTTTCAACAATCACCCCCTCCCCCGGCATGTGACTCCGCCCTCCAAAACTCACCCCCTCCACCTTATTTGGACGACTCCGCGACCCCACCTTATCAAAACGTTCCTGTCCCAAGCACTAGCCCTAGTACTCCTTACCCTCGCCAAGATCCACATAAATGTGTGATAGATTGCAAGGGCATTTGCAACGACCATATGAACAGGCCTGCAGGAAATATTGTATATCTAAATGCCCACAAGCCTTCTTATCCGGGAGAACCTGCTGGTGGGGCAGTAGCATTAATATATCTCAAGTGTACACGTTACTGCAAAAAGTCCATATCCACCACCAAAACTATATTAACTAAGTAATGCAGTTTTTCTGTTAATTTGTTTGTTGATTAATAATGTAAAATATCTGATTTAATAATGCAGGGTTTACATTCTAACTTTTTTTACATGTTATGTGACTTGTGGTGCAGAAATGTTCATCAACAAGTGTATCCCTCCTTTTAGTAGATTTCTACGTCGTGATTACGAATGAGAGAAAACATATAGGTGAGATTTAGATATGTACACCCAATGTATAATGTATATTCATATTCATTCATCTTGTGAATCTGTCACTTTTTCATAGCTTTTCCTACTTTGTTGAGCCATTTTCCCAACTTTTTTTCGAACGAGGTTGAAGTTTAAAACTCCAACAACTCTTAATGTTAATGAGAAATACTTTAAGATTCATTACCTATTAATTATTGACTGTTAATGTCAGATGTAATAACAATTAATTCTTGAATTTTTTTTCATCTAAAATGTTGCTTTATGTGTTTCTTTTTCTTCATTTTTTTTTTTTTTTAAATGTGAAATGTGAATTTTTGTTAAGAGCTAAAAAGATGCTAAAGAGCTTCTCCGAAAGTATCATTGAAATAACGTCATGATTAAAAGTAGCATTTCAATATTTTTATTACTTTGAACATAAGAATTAAGAATTACCAGCACAATTTAAGAATTACCACAAGGTAAAAAAGAAATGGAAATTTGCAGGCCGAAGCAGTATTGCATGGCCGCTTACGGGTCCTGCATTTATACAATCAATCCACCTCTCTTACACATTCTGCAAAGCCACAAACTAAAATTCCCCCAAAAAAGAATTCCAGCGGTGAATGAGCAGAGGAGAAGAGGCACGGTTATAAGAAGAAAAAATGGGAGATGTTCTAGTTCGAACCCGGAGAAAGATTAAAACACCAAAAGTGCGAAACTTTCTTCGGCTAAAAGCTCTACTAGTATCCTGATAAATTCAGGATTCATCGATTCCTAGGTATTGTGAGTGAGAGGCAGCGAGAAGGGCAGCTCCAATCCCAGAGCCATCATTAGAGTGTTCAATAACGATAGTTTCTGCAACTTCCTCTCCGAGCAATTCTCGTAGAGTATTTTCCATGCACTTGCTATATTCAGTGTAGTGCTCGTATAATCCACCATCCAAAGCTACCACTGTCTTCTGGTTTTCCCCATCCTTGACCGCGTCTCTTCCCAGCTTTTTCAGTACACCCAAGACTCCAGCAGCAGCAAGGCGGGCCCCACGTGTAGCAACTATATTGCAGAGCTCGACGATAACTTTTCTTACTTTAAGAGAAGTATTTGATATCTGAAACAGAATTAGAACACTTAAAAAATTTATATCTACACAAACTTATCCGATTAGTATGGCCAACAACATTTAAATGTCATTGACGTGAAGATAAGAGCATCATCCCTAGGTTCAACCTCCTTATACGTCTTTTGAAGGCCACTTCTGATATTAATAATGCGAGTAGTTGAAGTGAAATTAAACACACCTCCAATACATTCTTCAATTTTTCTCGTACCACCCTAAGATCAGAGGATGCATCGTGATGCATCGCAGACATGTCAGGTGTCCTGCATGATTCAAAGCTCACATTTTAACTACTTAGCGAAAACAAAATCCCAAAGGCTATAATAAATCCAAGGAAGGAAAGTAATACTAAATGCACCAAACAACATACACAGCTACAAAAACATAGTGGGCCTAAGGAATAACCTCAAAATGAAAGGAACATTTAACTTTGGTGGAACAGTGTCACCAAAAAGGGAAGCTTCGTCAGCAATCCTACAAAGAACTCTGCGAACAATTTCTCCCAAGTACATTCCAGAAATTATCTTCTCAAAAATCTAAAAGAATCAATTTCAACGGCATTAACATAAGCGTATTAGAGTATGTCACAGAGAAAAAAAAAAAATTGAGGAAGTAAATAAATACAATCACCTGATCACCACGGTTCAAACTTTCAGTATCCAATGAGTGATCATATTCTGTCAATGGAAGGTGAGCTGACTTAAAGTTACCCCACTCCATGTTGACAACCTACAGTCCACAGACGGCAGCTTCAAGATTTACTTTATAATTTTCAGTTGCTACTGTTTTTCATAATTTTACAATCCTAATGCTAACAAAAGTTTGAAAAGAATAATTTAACAAAAAAAAGTATTGAATAGGTAATTGACACAAGTCAATGGCCGTGAAGCTGTGAAGCAGTGAAGGAGTTGCTAACCATCTCTCCTGATTTAGGTAGCAGACCATGCCATTTTGGTATTGCATGTGCACGTTCCACATATGCTGCATTTGTCCCTGTACCTAAAATCACAGCAGCAATAACATCCTGATTGACATACCTACCTCCAGCTAATGTCCCAACCGTGTCATTAACCTGGTGAGAAAGTGACCATTAACACTGAACTTTAAATTATAATTGATTTGAAAATGCATTTTTACGTCGTACCAATGCAAATCCAACAAATATACTCATAGACTCGACACGAAGGCCTTTTATTTAATAATTGAAAATAACTCATCAAGTTTACTTACCAGAGCAGATACACGCATATCGAGGCCTGTTCTTTCAATGGCTTTACTCAATTCAGCCACTACATCTTGCCCAACCTATTCAGCATCAAGAGTTAAAGTCATGAAGGTTGAAATATGAGTGCAAAACAGGTTTCACAAGTTTAGAATATGTTTATTATTGGACATCACATGATAATTTAAATACTAGATATGCTTATTGCTTCAAATGAACATAATATACTAGAGTATTTTTGCACTGTTGAATGAAATGGCTGGCCGGGGAAATGGACTAGAGTAATTCTGCTGTGTATTGTTTATAGGATGAAGCTCACTTGAAGATAGTGAGAAGTGGCACTGACTACAACGTTAAGAAACAAAAGCTAACTTTAACAATTCTGATGTTTCAGGATTACGAGGGCAACTATATCACAGAAACTGAACCGCAATCACAAGTTACTGATTCAAGGAATTCTTTATCTTATGAATTCTAGGACTCAAGTGAAACAACTTTCTTTTAACAGGGGAAGGTGGAATAAAGTAGTAGCTGTAGTAGATAGACAAATGTATTATAAATCCCCGGCACCAATATGTCCACACTTTATAAGTGCTGAATATTCACTTTTTTCACAAGAGATTATATTGGAGAATACAGAAAAAAATAAACTAAGGAGAATAAAAATAATACAGAATATTAAAGAAGTCAAAGTAACAAGGACTGAACTGCATCATCTATAGAAAAGCCTTTCGTCCACTTAATAAGGGTCCCCGAATTAATTGATGATTGCAGCACAGGGAATGAGAAGGTAAAACCTAGTTCTCTCTGCCTTCCAGGAGGGAGTTGATAATCTTGACCTTCTTTAGCAACAAACTTAGCAAGTTCTGCCGCAATGTAGTCAAAGAGTGCCTGAAATCACAATCATTCTCAAGATTTAAGAGGTGTGTTCACATAAAAACCTTAACATACATTGGCATTGTTAGCGACAATCTACTTACATCTGAAGTCCCGACCATAAGATTTTCAGGAATTGAGACCTCAGTAAATTCTTGGCTAATAATTCCACGACCCTTTCCTCCCAATTGCACCCTCATTACACGGAAGTTTGTTCCTCCGAGATCCAAAGCATAAAACAACCCTTTCTCATTCCTGAAATAGAAAATACGCATATATACATATTAAGAGGAGACTTCAACATCTGAGAGCATAAAATTTCATTGTAACACAACTGTTCAAGTAATATGAAACAAACACAATGTACAATTCACTCATCAAATAATGCACCACGATTGATCAAGAAGAGATCAACCTGCGAAAAACAATACAAAATTCCTGCAATTTGGACAAATTTTGATCGACCCTTTTCGCAACTGTGAGTATTCAACCGAAATTTTCAATCCATTTATAAAAGATTAAAACATTAGAGCTTACCCCAAAAAATATACACATCCAAAGATATCAAGAAATCGACTTTGAATCCAACGATGGAGACCCAAATCAATATAAACAAAAACAAAACACCCCACATCAATCAGACCCAAAACAGATCAAGCGGTACAAGTCGATCCAGAATCTACAATACACATATATGCATGTCAGGAAATCAAAAGAGTCAATTGATTGATTGATTCAATGGCTACGTACCCAGTAGGGAGATTGTCGACGTAGCTAATGATCATCTTGAGCTTGCTGCCACCTTCGGAGGCGAGGCCGGCATGCATCTCGACAGCCATGGCGTCAGCCACCTGCCTCAGCTTCCCAGTGGGGGTCCCACACTTCTCCTCGAGCTCCTTGATGATGGCCGATGCCCGGGCCCACCGTCCCGAGTTCCGCATGTGGTGGCGCGCCACCAGAACCGCTGCCGCGGCGCACACTGCCGTCGCAGTAACGATTATCACCGCCTTCTTCCCCATTGTTTCGGTTGATTTCGGGTTCGGAGTTGTTTGTGGAGAAGCAAATGAAATGCTCTGTTTCTTTGGTGGGTTGAGGGAGTGATGCAAATTTTAACGGTTTGGGGCGACTTTCATACGAGTAGGACACATAAATGGAATTTCAATGATAATTACAATATTGTCCCCGGTTAGTAATACGATTTAATAATATTTTTCTTTATTTTGTAAGTGAGAGGTCTTAGGTTTGATTCTCGTCAAAGACGAATTTGAACCACATTATTGCTAGCTCATTGTGAGGCTTAATTCATCCCCTCCCCCTTCGTGTAGATAACTCATTCTCTCCTCTTTAGTGTAGATAATATCGTTTGTTAAAAAAAATTAAAAGTTACAATATTGTCCTACTATAAAAATAGATTTGAGGATTCGGTTCTAGGCATGGGCACGTGTAATGACCCGTCCCCAATTATTATGATTTTTATAATTTTGAAAAGCGAATTTACGAAAATGCCCTTTGAGACAAAGTGTTGACTGTCGTGTTATGTCATGTAAGGTTCATTTTCTTGGTGTATTTCCGTAGTACTCGTTGCTATGGACGCGTGGGCGCAAATAGATCATGATTTGGAGTTATAATGAATGAGATATTAACATTTAAAGTTGGGGCATTTTAGTAAACTAGTTATTTTCTGGAATGCTCCAGGATTTTGGAGCAAAATCTGGTGGAGCCATGTGTGTGGCCCAGATTAAAAGAAAGATGGTCGGTGGAGATGGAGGATAAAGGAGAGAAAGAAGGGAGGAACCAGACCAATGGGGAAGGGAGAAAATGAGGAGAACCAATGGGAAAAGAGGAAGGGAGGAAAAATCAGAGAAGGGGAGAAGGAGAGGAACCTACTGGGTTCCCCATTGGCCCGCAACCCGACCGGGTTCCGCCATCTTTTTTGGCAGTTTCCGTCGGTTTTTCCGTCAAATCGTCGCCACCCACCACCTGAGAAACCTTTCATGACCTCCCATCTTCCATTCCAATCAAATTTCACTAGATTTAGCCTTGATTTCGGGAAGAATGGAACCCGTGGGTTCTAGGGGTGCATGGCGAAAATCCGATGATCGTGAAGCTAACTCCGCCAACCACCACTACCAATGGACTCCCCTCAATCCCAAGAGCAAGGCCCAAGCCTTGGAGGAAGCGTCGGAGTTTGTTTGGAGACGAATCAACAACTACCCAATTTTAAGGGTTTTCGGCGGGTTTGGATGAAATTGGGACATTCCAGGTTGGGGTGTGTCAGTTTTGTATCAGAGCATAAGTTAGGCAGTATTGTGTTCATCATACGCGTGATGTTAGCATTCTTAGTTTTTTAGCCTAATGTTCGAATCTTGCCACCTCGTTGAATATGAAAAATGTGTTAGCTTTTCCTAAGTTTTGGGTAGTTTTGTCGACTTGTCGACATTTTAAAAGAGCACTATGGCGAACGCCCTTTGACTTAAAGCGAAGAAATTCCCTTCCAAATAAAGATGTAGATTTGAGGCAAGTTGATGGCCTACAGTAAGGCTAATGTATCGATAACTGTGTATCATCGGAGACTTTACCAACCAATTCCATCCTTACCCTCCAGCCATCAGTATTAAACCTCTCGAGATTGGAAATCCAAAATAGTTTTGATTCCTTGGCAGTATCCATTAGAATACCACTTATTAGAATTCATGCGAAGTCTACTTTTGTCAAGACTCTAGAAATGTCTCATGTGACGATGGTGCTAAAGTGGTAGCACTCGACGGAAGAACATCTTGGGAAAATCACTTTTGGTCCCTGATAGCTCTAATACTTTTGTGATGTTACTTTTTGATCATCAAGAAACCTTGTTAGCTCAGACAACCACAAAAATTGTTTAGTCTTTTGGCAAAATTCATCATTTGTGAAATTGTCCGACTCTTTGATATTTTAGCCCGCATCAGCTCTGTTCGTACCCTCAGTTTCACCTTCTGGTATTACAGGTATTTTAGTTGATTTTGAGTCATTCGTCTGTTCCCCATATCATTTCTCATGTTGACAGACTATCCAGAAGGACCACTTAGACTTTGAAACTTTCAGTTTAGACCATCAATCCTTAAATCACCCAATCAGCATTCTATCAAGCAAATCATTACCATCGGTAATTTATTATTCCTGGAGCTATCGTTGTAACAAACTATTGTGAATTTTGAGTCAAGGAAAAATCTAAGTTTCGGTCCATCAACCTTCCTTAAACTATCGTTCAAGTTGAGTTATCTTCCAAACCTTTCATTGCTAACGCATGATTAAGTTAGATATTTTCACGTGTACAGACATCAAAATTGTATATTCAATTCCGATATCTTGTACTTTAGATTCATGGACTCATTTTGACCCTCAATTTCTTGAGTGTTCATTTAGCATTCTCGACATGGTTTATCGCTTAATCAATGAGGAATTCACGATAGGTCGACTCAACAAATGTGTGCACCAGTTTCATATCGATGCTAGCAGGAACCATTGGAATATAATCTTCTTGCGAGTTTACCAGATTTACCAAAAAAAAAAAATTCCAAGCGACTTTGAGGATTGAGCAGTAATTTAGCATGATATTCGTGAAGGTATGAACATAGGTTTTGAGCTTGGTGGTTGTGACGTTAATTTTCAAGTGTGGCCAGAAATGCAATTGTCATTCGAAGAATGTCGTCAAAGATATGGTTTCTCTAATTTAAGCTTTTAGATCTTATGAGCAACTCTAGTGCTTAGTCACGAAAGAAGCATTTTGCAATATGTATTCGTCTCTATGTATATTTCCACTGCTTCACTCCAAGGTCATATTGTTGTGGGAATGTGAACGTCGAAACATTTCTAGCAGCTAGTTTGGTGCTCTCTAGAATAGTACAGTATCGTGATCGAGGCATGAATTGGACGATTTTGGCATATTTGCACATGAGAAGCAAAACGATATTTTGGCATCACTCGAGAACTTGACTGACTTATTGAGATAATAATGAGTTATCAGCATTACAGGCTGCAGACTGTAATATCAATGACTTAGTTGTTGGGTTCACTAAGCAAGTGGGCAAGACGACTCATCTACGGCAACACTTATTAGTTAGTTAGCTATGGTTCTGACTTATTCTTGAAATTTGTGACACGACGAATGTTTGGCAAGGTCCATTTTCATTTTGGGTTTTGATTTTTCGTGCAAGTATTTTTTAAATTACTTTATTTTTTCCATTACAAATTTTGGGTGAGTAATTTCCACTCTTGGTTTTAAACTCAATACAAGTATTTCCTTATGTTATTACATAATAATTGGTATTTTCAACATTACGGGTTATACAAGTATTATATTGCTTTGTTATTGAGGAAGGAAGAAGGTATGAGCTTGGAGGCATGAAAGAGAAATAATTGCTACGTCATTCTCTTTTTATGCAGCCGCTCTAACTTGATTTCTTTCTTATGTTTATATAAATATGTTCCTCCCTGTTTTCAAGTATCTTATTTATAACAAGTTATTTTAAATTTCGAGGACGAAATTTCCTTAAGGGGGGTAGATTGTAACGACCCATCCCCAATTATTATAATTTTTATAATTTTAAAAAGTGAATTTACGAAAATGCCCTTCGAGACAGAGTGTTGACTTTTGTTGACTGCCATGTCGTGTCATGTAAGGTTCATTTTCTTGGTGTATTTGGAGTTATAACGAATGAGATATTAACGTTTAAAGTCGGGGGCATTTTAGTAAACTAGTTATTTTCTGGAATGCTCTACATTTTTGGAGCAAAATCTGGTGAAGCCACGTGTGTGGCCCAGATTAAAAGAAAGAAAGATGGTCGGTGGAGATGGAGGATAAAGGAGAGAAAGGAGGGAGGAACTGGACCAATGGGGAAGGAAGAAAATTAGGAGAACCAATGGGAAAAGAGGAAAAGAGGAAAGGAGGAAAGCTGAGAGAATGGGAGAAGGAGAGGAACCCGCTGGGTTCCTCATTGACCCACGACCCGACCGGGTTCTACCATCTTTTCCGGCTGTTTTCGTCGGTTTTTCTGTCAAATAGTCGCCACCCACCACATGAGAAACCTTCCATGACCTTGCATTTTCCATTCCCAGTCAAATTTCACTAGATTTAGCCTTGATTTCGGGAAGAATGGAACCCGTGGGTTCCAGGGGTGCACGGCGAAAATCCAATGATCGTGAAGCTCACTTCGTCAACCACCACTACCATTGGACTCCCCTCAGTCCTAGGAGTAAGGCCCAAGCCTTGGAGGAGGCGTCGGAGTTTGTTTGGAGATGAATCAACAACTACCCAATTTTAAGGGTTTCCGGTGGGTTTAGATAAAATTAGGACATTCTGGGTCGGGGTGTGTCAGTATGGGTTGGGCCAAGCCCAATTTTGAAGGAACCTAACCCTACTCGTTTTAAACTGTAACAGGGCGGGGTGGGTACAGACATTTTTAGTTTTGGAACCGAACCTTACTCGGCCCATTTGAAACAGGGTGGGCGAGTCCATGGGTCCAACTCTATTTTTTTTCTCTTAAAAAATGAGGCTAAAGTTGCTACACTGTAGTGCATAGCAGCATCACATATTACACTCCTGGAGATGTCTTTAAAAATTGAGAATGCATAACAACACTATAGCAGCTCATATTAGAGAAGTATTGAAGCACAGATTGTGCCTAGTAGTGCATATTAATATTATTATCCAAATCCAATCCAAAATAACATCTCCAAGACATCCAATGCAAAGTCAAAATAAAAAATAACATCCAAATCCAAAATAACCTAACAACAAAATTAGTGAATAAAACCCTTTGAAAACTTATAGAACATTGTTGTAATCTATCCATGGTTCCTAACAGAGTGAAAATTATACTATAATTGGTAATTAACATATAATAAAAGTTGTTTGTGTATGATACTTATAGAAATTTGAATTTGTGTTGGTTGATTTGGAACTCAGAAAAGTCTTCAAGTCCTACCTTTAGACTCTGAGTGCTTCAACTTCTCTTTTTTACTTTGTTTGCTGCTGAGCCTGCAAGTGCAAAAACCCAGGTCCTAGACCTAGAGTACAAAATTATTGTGACAACCCGTCGCTAATTTGACAATTTTATAAATTTTTAAAAGT